AAGTGAGGGTCTAGTCCTTACTCTGGCTCTGTCTAGGGGTTACCTGGACAGGACATCAGTTGGTCAGGACATAACCTCAGCTTGCCTTTTGCATCTGGGAAGGCGGCAAGGTGTGATGGAGAGAGACTTTGACTACAAGCCATATCCCAACTTATAATTGCAATCCCGCTGCTTTTTAACGATGTGACTTGGGGCTAGGAGCTTAACCACCAGAAGCTTCACACACCGATGGAACAGAGTCTGCCTTGGGGGCATCTGTAAGAAGTCGTAAGATCCACATGTGCTTATGTTAATGCTTATACATGCACAAACACTCATTCGTATCAGCGCTTTGTAAGCAGTTCAGTGCAATTTGAACAACAGGTGGACTGGCATGGGATCTGGGGTCAGAGTGTCTTGGTTTGAATCCTGGTTCCACGATCTTGAGTTGGGAGCCAGGGGCCAAATCACCCAATCTCTCTGCAAAATGCTGGCCACAATACCCAGCCCATTTTATTTGTTAAAAGTTTATTTACCACCCCACACTGGTCAGAATGGCTAAAATGAACAAATAAGGAAATGACAGATGCTGGTGAGGATGTAGAGAAATGGGAACCCTCTTGCACTGTGGGTGGGAATGCAAACTGGTGCAGTCACTCCGGAAAACAGTATGGAGGTTCCTCAAAACATTAACAATAGAACTCCTCTAGGACCCAGCAATAGCACTGCTAGGAATTTATCCAAGGGATACGGGAGTGCTGATTCATAGGGGCACATGTTCCCCAATGTTCGTAGCAGGACTTCCAACAATAGCCAAATCATGAAAAGAGCCTAAATGTCCATTGATGGATGGATAAAGATGTGGTTTATATATACAATGGAATACTACTTGGCAATGTGAAAGAATGAAATCATACCATTTGCAGCAATGTGGATGGAACTGGAAGGTATTATGCTGAGTGAAGTAAGTCAGAGAAGGACAGATACCATACGTTTTCACTCAAATGAAGATCTTGAGAAACTTAACAGAAGACCATGGGGGAAGGAAGGGGAAAGATAGTTACAAACAGAGAGAGAGGGAGGCAAACCATAAGAGGCTCTTCAATACAGAGGACACTTGATGATATTCCCCTACTTGGATACCTTCAAACTCAAGAGGTATACTCTGAAATACCTTGTGCTTTCTATAGCTCTGTAACACCACCCTCAAAGAGGATTTGTCACCACTGAGTATACAAAAAAAGAGTAAACACCAGGTTTCAAAGTCAGTTCTCCAGATGAAGGAAAGATAATGAAGCTGCTAAAAAATACCAGGCACAGCTAAATCCTTTTTGACCTCTTTCTCATTGGAATTTACACAACAGCCCAATGAAGTAGGCACCATCAGGTCTGTTTTACAGATTTGAAAAGTGAGGTCCAAATAAGTTAAGCATTGGATTTAAGTAACTTGCCCAAGGCCACCAATATGGAAGATACAAGTTTTTGATGATCCAACCCAGGCCTGCATTGGTAGGATGATTCTATAACTTTCAAGGTTGGCAACTTTCAAGAAAGCAACATTCATTTGTCTATACAAAATATGGCATCACGGGTGCCTGGCTGACTCTGGCGGGGAGCTTACTTAAAAACATACTACAACTGGAGTGTCTAGCACATGGAGTGGGAGATTCATACACTCATCTGTTGAATTAACACAACACATTGTACAGCATTATCATATATCCCTATGCACAGTGTGTACAGCACACAATTTCAAGTCTGAAGGCATACTGATAAAGGGATTTATTGCACGATATCGGAGGGGAAAAAGCAGACTCAAATCTCTGCCAAGACTACCATTTTAGAGATGACAAGGTGATTCCACTTGGCAGATTTTTACACGTGTCTCTACATTATTGGCTAGCTCCTTTTCTCCAGGGTAGATCTGGAATCTGAGGACAGATGACCTGACGTACAGTGACTTAAAAACACTGGCTGAAATGAAAACCTGGTTCGAACCATCATGCTCTCATGCATCAGTTCCAACTTCTGCCTGTCTTGGGCTCTGCTCTGGGAAGTTGGCATCCATCTCAACAATGTCCACACGACTCCGTGTCTGCGGCAAACGAGGCCAGTGGATCACACGTGTGCAGCAACGGCTGTGATAATTCACGAACGACATTTGTAAAGCAGATTGGTAAAGAATGTGGTCCTTTGAGCACCTTCAAAGAAGCCTAGCCCGCCCACAGAGGCGACTCCGGCATGGGGTGACCTTCCTTGACAAATATAGCACAGTGCTTACAAACACAGAGCCTGGAGCCAGAGTTGCTGCGTGTAAAGGCTGGTGGATGACTGCATGAATGAACAATGGGCCTTCAGTGAACACTCTGCATTGCACTGAACAATCCCTTTACTGCTCTATACTACTACTACTATTACTACTACAACTGCCTCCTCCTCTTCCTCCTTCTGGTTGCTCTCGTTCATGGTGTGGTATTAGTTATTTGTATCAAAATTATACATGCAAATAATCCAAGGAATCGATGGTCTTGCAAGTGCTGTAATCCAGAAACAACCTCTCCCTCTCCATCCATCCACTCATCCATCCGTCTGATCCAGGTGACAATTTAGGTAGACGTGGCTCCTTCTCTCTAAAGTAATTGATAACTTTTGCATCTCAGGCTCCATCTGTTGGCCTCCCACTGTGGAAGAGGAAGACTCCCACTCTTTCCTCCCCATAGCTGCCCCCCCAGGAGCCCCGACACTCATCTCCCCATCCTGCCATCCCCCAGTGGAGCGTTGTATTTCTGGTTAGGCTGATCTTGAGGGCTGCAGTGATTATGATTGTATGGAGCCAGTTCACAATGTAAGCTGTACTACACACACGCAATATCCTGTATGATGCTTCCACTCCCTGCAATTAATAAGTCTTTTATTGATTGATTTTGTCCCAAAACTTCCCATTTATTCAACTTCAGATCCTTCAACAGCTAAATAACTTCCACTCAAGGCATTCAGATGCGTCAGGAATCCCACCAGCCCGTGCTTCCTGGAGAAGTCTGTCCCAGGGTCTTCTGATCCACTCCAGTCAGCACTGGTCAGGGCCTACTCTGTAGACATAGCTAACATCCTGGACCTCCGTTTATCACCATCCTAGAGGCTGTCTAGGCCTCTCTTCCCTGCCAGAGCCCCACATTTTCCATTTCTTCCTCCTTCCTGATTTATTCCTTCATTTTAGTGGTGTCTGTCTCTTCCAAGATTTGTTTTTCCTCTTTCCACTTGAAAAATCCATTCTTTGGATCTCACGGTTTGTGCCAGAAGATTTCCATGGGTGTCTGATGACCATTGGTTACTTAAATGAGTGGGGCTTGTTGGCTGTGAACTCCATGTGAAGTGGTGGTGGGGAAGTTGTGAAGCTGGGTCTCTTTGCTATTGGGTCACCCCCACTGAAATCAGTTTCCTGCCTGGAGGAAGGTCTGAACAGGTCACTCTTGGAGCCCAGCTGGAATGGGTAGAAGTTGTGTACTTTAGCTTCTGGTTGGAATACTCTTTCCCTTTTAAGTTTATTTATTTTGAGAGAGATAGAGAATGAGGGAGCGAGCGCACAAGTGGGGGGAGGTGGTCGGAGAGAGGGAGATGCAAAATCCCAAGCAGGCTCTACGTTGTCAAGCTTACAGCCTGACACAGGGCTTGAACTCACCAAGGGTGAGATCATGACCTGAGCTGAAACCAAGAGCCAGACGCTCAGCCACCTGAGCCGTCCAGGTGCCCCAATACAATGTCCTAACTCAATATAATGTCCTAACTCAAGTAAGCTAGGTGTCCTTCAGTGCAGAATCTCACTAGGTTTTCCATCTTTAGGGAGCAAACATTATTCTTCTGCTGGGGCGAAGTTATGACTCAGCCATCGAGTTCTTCACAACGGGCAAGCAGCTCTGGGTTCTCAGTAATTCCTAAAAGGCTTTCAAACTCATCTTACTGTAGCCTCCCTTCTTCCTTCCATATATGCTGATGACTGCCAATCCCCGTGCCGAGGGGGCGCTCTTCAGCGTCCATCAGCGTCGGCTCTCCCCAGTGACAACCTGGAATTTACGTTCTTGGACACTAATCTTCACCACTCCCCATCTTCTTTCGGATCACCCCCCCCCCCCGGTATTTTTTCTGTAGTCTCCTCTTTAGTCTTCTCCATCTTTGTGAGTTTGTCATTTATCGCGTTATTCTTGCTGTCGTTTTACTGGGGTTTCAGGAAGAACAAGCTGTAGTGTGTGTGTGTGTGTGTGTGTGTGTACATGTATGCATGCTTAATCTACCATCTTTACCTAGAAGGTCAAGTCTTTCTTTACCATGTCATCCAAAACTGCATAAGTTAGAAGAGCAGCGAGGGACAGTGCCAACTCAAGGCGAACCAATCTGGAACCGCTCACGCCGACCTCCTCCTCTGGGAAGAGCGAGACGACTTCGTTCCATCACTTCTGGAAGCCTCTCACTGGCCACCTGGCTCTGCAGACAAACTTGCTTTGCCGGCCTGCTCGAAGGGGCAGAGCTGTGACAGGCAGGGGAAGCCAGGGCCCCGAGGAGGCAGAGGAACCCAGAGCTTGTAACCAAAGCCCAGGGCTGGCACCGAGGCTTGCCCGGGAGAAAGAAGTCCTTCACTCCTCCGTGAGCACAGCCCTGACTTCACGGACGGAAAGGCAGAGAGCAGATTCCCTCACACTCCCAGCTGATGCCATGTGACCCTTCTAACCTGAGAAGGGGCAGGGGGCCCAGAACGGTCCAGCCTCCCGAAGTCACAGCGGAACAGAGAAGCAAAGCCCTCCACCGGGGGGGGGGGGGGGGGGGGGGAGGGGTGGTCCACCTCGGATGCAGGTGACAGGGGGGTGGGCCTGCAGATGTAAGAGCCGTAAGAGGCTGTTCTGATGTCTGTGAGCGCCGGGTGCTGTCACTTCCGACAGACGTCGGTGAGGAAACGCCCCGCCCGGCCGCCCCGCGTCCCCAGCGCCCCATGGGCCACGTCCCCAGCGCCCCGCCAGCAGCCCCGTCACCTGTGGATGATGTGGAACCTCTGCAGATACTCCAGGGCCAGGGCCAGCTCGCAGATGTACAGCTTCACCGCCCCCTCGGTGAAGTGGACGTTCTGCTGCAGGTGGTAGCGCAGGTCCCCGCCCAGGAGCAGGTCCACCACCATGAACATGTCCTCCTCGTCCTGGAAGGAGTACCTGCGGGTGCAGGGGGGACACAGCAGGTTAGGGGGGGCGGGGGTGCTCCAACATCCTGCGGACCGATGCCCCCGTTTCACAGAAGGGCAACTTGAAGCTCAGAGAGAGGCGCCGGGCATCACCGAAATCACAGTGCGCTCTCGGCGGGCTCTCGCAGGCAAGCGGCGTTTTAACCAACGCCGGACGTCAACCTGAGACTTTGTTTTCATTCTTAAAAATTTGTTAGGGGCGCCCGGGGGGCTCAACTTCGGCTCAGGTCATGATCTCACGGTTCGTGGGTTCGAGCCCCGCGTCGGGCTCTGTGCTGACAGCTCAGAGCCTGGAGCTGCTTCGGATTCTGTGTCTCCCCCTCTCTCTGCCCCTTCCCTGCTCGTGCTCTGTCTCTGTCTCTCTCTCAAAATAAATAAACCTCAAAAATAAAATATTTTTTTTACATTTTAATTTAAATTCCAGTTGATTACTACACAGTGTAATGTTAGTTTCAGGTGTACAATCTAGTGATTCAACACTTCATACCCCACGTACTCATCACAACAAGTGCCCTCCTTAATCCCCATCACCTCTTTCACCCATCCCCCCGCCCACCTGCTCTCTCGTGACCATAAGTACATTCTCTATAGTTAAGAGTCTGTTGGGGCGCCTAGTGTGGCTCAGTCGGTTGAGCGTCCGGCTTTGGCTCAGGTCATGACCCCACGGTTGGTGGGTTCGAGCCCCACATCGGGCTCTGTGCTGACAGCTCAGAGCCTGGAGCCTGCTTCAGATTCTGTGTCTCCCTCTCTCTCTGACCCTCCCCTGCTCACGCTGTCTCTCCCTCTCAGAAATAAAAAGAATTATAAAAAGAGTCTGTTTCTTAGTTTGTCTGTCTCCCTCTTTTTTTCTCCCTTTGCTCATTTGTTTTGTTTCTTAAATTCCACACAGGAGTGAAATCATATGGTATTTGTCTTTCTCTGACTGACTAATCTCACTTAGCATTATACTCTCTAGATCCATCCATGTGGTTGCAAATGCCAAAACTTCAATTTTTTTTTTTTTTTACAGCTGAGCAATATTCCAGTGTATACATTACTTTGTCTTTAGTACCTGCTTTAATTAGGCGTTTTCGGGACTTGAGGTAGGTAGTCTCCAATGCTGCATCCCCCTCCCCAACGTCCCTCGATTCCCTCCCAGCATGCGCCACTCCCCCCACGGAGCTGGGGTCTGCACCCACTGAATGCAGTGATGTTCGGCAAGTCCTTGTCCAAGCCTTAGGGGGTCCGGGACTTCCTCCCAGGCCCCAGCCAGAGCCCCAGCCCCATGGAGAGGCCACGAGAAGGAAAACACGGGAGCTCCAGCCCACAGCCCTGGCTGAGCGACCGGCAGCCTTGGCAGTGAGCTACCTCGGACACTGGGAGCCCCCGCGGGCCTGGATGGCATCACGCGGTGCAGAAACACTGCCCAGGGGACACAGCCGACTCCCAGAACGTGAGGTAATAAAGTAGCTGTGTTTTAAGCCACTACATTTGGGGGTTTGTTAAGTTTGTTTGTTTCAGCCATAGAGCATGACACGTTACTCAATTCGTTTTTACAAAATGCATTGGAAGCGACCGAAGAGCCGACATACAGAACCTCAGAATGGTGTTAAAAACGCTAAAGGCGAATCTCATCCCTGTAAAATGTTTTCACATTCTGTACAGAACCGTGGAATGGTCTCTCCCCGGTGCATTGACAACTAAGCACCAGTAGGTGGTGCTGTGATGCCCACACTGTGCTCCCTAACCTCGGTGTATTTCCTGGGTTCAAGTTGCCAATACCTCACTTACGAATTTGCGTGGAGTGTTCCAAATGACACTACCTCCCATTTTCCTACCTGCCTGCCCTGACCCAGATTTGGCATCCTGGTAATACCGGACTTGTATGATGAAGTGGGGCTTTTTGTCTATATTCAAGAGGGGTTTATGAGAAGCATTGCTAGTTTGTGCAAAGTCTGGTCTTGAAATGCCTTCCATTCCCACACTTCTGATTCACTGGGGATTCTCCCTCTTACTTAAGGTGCTCCTGTTGGTGCTGTCCGATGATTCCTGCTCCTCCCTTTCGACAAAGAGATGAGCCGATCAATGACCCGGGGTGACTAGGAGGTCTATACCCGTGTCCCCTGGCTGCTGGTGTTGGCTCATCAGGACCCATCTGGGTGCTCCCTGGGATAGACGGAAGAAAAATCTCTCTGGGTTTGCCAGGCTAGACGCTGTGAAACCCTCTTGCCCCAAATGGGGGTACAACCCATCTGCAGTGTGAAGCTGCAGAGGGTCAAGCAGGGGGAGTGTTAAACACAGACAGAAGCCTTGTTGGAGATGCTGGCACCAGCCCGGACAGAAGCCTGAACTTCATGCTTACACGGGCAATGACGTGCCTTCCGACCTAAGCTACTTAACACAGTCTCTCTGTCATTTGGAACTGAAAGGGTCATCTGGTACATCTTTCCATGTATTTGCTACTGGAGAGGAGGGTTTAGATGCTCAAAAAGGAACCATAAGAATTAGTTATAAATGCCTCCTACAGATGCCCAATTTGTATTTGAATAGTTGAAGGACTATTGAAACATTACATTAATAACCAGTTGAGTTCTGTACCCTTGTTCACAGCTAAACTGTCAAAGGGTATCTCACTCAATATTCCGTCAGAACTGTTTGGAGGAGCAACGTGAATTTTTAGGAGAGAAACTTGCAGACCGGAATGAATTTTAAGAGAAAATCCAAAATGCGTCGAGAACAATAATTTAAGCAATAATTCAGGTTGCGGCTTTCTCTTGCTGCAGATTTTTTTTTTTTTTTTTTTTTGCCCCGGACCATAGACTCTACATCCCCAGGGAGACTCAATGTTATTATCAGAGAACAGAAAATGACCTTTCATTTATCTGTGCAGTTTTGTGCTGCTATTCTGCAGCTCTGTGCAATTCTTCCTTTTGCCTCCTCTTAGGCAGGAACTATAAGTATGTTCTCGTGAGAATGCTGCACATTGTCATGGAGATGATGGAGATCACAAATGAGAGACCTGCACTTTATGGTGGTAACAGTGAGCCAGGGAGAAATCAGTTAGGTTCTCCTTCTAACATCAAAGAATTTCAGGAGTTTGGAAGGCATGAGTTTTGGCCTGGACATGGAAATGCACCAGCATGCAGAACCCTATGCCTGGTTTAAAAAAATTTTTTTAATTAATTTCCAATCTTGTCCTAAAAAGCTTTAAAGGTTATTTGAAAACTACATATTATTTAACAAAATTAAAAGTTAGGGCGCCTGAGTGGCTCGGTCAGTTAAGCGTCCGACTTTGGCCCAGGTCATAATCTGGTGGTTTGTGAGTTCCACAGAGCCCAGCACTGGGCTCTGTGCTGACAGCTCAGAGCCTGGAGCCTGGTTCGAATCTGTGTCTCCCTCTCTCTCTGCCCCTCCCCTGCTTACACTCTGTCTCTCCCTCTTTTGAAAATTAACATTTTTAAAAAATTTATTTCCGAGAGAGAGAGAGAGAAACAACGTGAGCAGGGAAGGGGCAGAGAAAGGAGACACAGAATCTGAAGCAGGTTCCAGGCTCTGAGCTGTCAGCACAGAGCCCGATGCGGGGCTCGAAACCATGAACCATGAGATCATGACCTGAGCCAAAGTTGGATGCTTAACTGACTGAGCCACCCAGGCACCCCAAAAATAAATAAACATTTAAAAAATTAAAAAAAAATAAGTAAGCCATACATCAGTCAAAGAATAAAAAAGGAATTCAAGAAACTGTAAACAGGCAAAAATACCCTAATGCATGGTCAGAGAGCTTTTGTGCTTACCCCAAACAGGCCATAAATGTGTGTCTAACCTTTCCGACAAGCAGAAAAACACGATCAGTCTTATGATCCAAGATCAACGAGGAAACAAAAAACAAGTTGTTGAGGAAAAGCATGATTATTCCTGGTACGAAGCCAGAGGGAAATTTCTCCCCCTAGATTCTTACAAAGACGGCACTTTGTAATGTGCCAAATGATCATCTACATAAAGTGCCTCTACACAGAGTAACAAGCTTAACAGGGATTTTTTTTTTTTTGCATGAAGTTCAAGACACAGTGGAGGCATCAAAGTCCGAGTGTGTAAAAGCAGTAATATGTGGGGAGAAGAAGGTGGTCTGATGTCACACAAATGGAAGAGCTTTCTTAACTGAAAGATAAATCTCAAAGAGACACCTTGTGCATGCCCTTGGGGACCACGTCACACGTGTGAGATTGCCCACGCACCCACAGATACTCGGGAGGCTTCTCCCACACATCAGCTCTGTGCCAGAAGCTGGGAGTCAGTGGAAGAGGTCGCCCTTGATGAGTTCACCTGAGTTTGCAGTAATCAGAAGGGGGCTGGAATTTGATGTCATGTGCCATGACAGGTGCCCCGGATTAACCCACTGCTGCGGATCCATTTTTCACCCTGGACGCAGACCTTGGACTCCCACATTCCCAAGGAGCTGCATATGGTCCCTGCTACCCCCACCAGTTCATCCACTCATAACCTCCCCTACCATCACCTCTCTGCTCTGGTCCACCCTTCTCTTCTCAGTGCTGAGCAGTGGTTCCCAACCAGGGTGACAATGCGCCCCTGGGGACATTTAACAATGTCTGGGGACGCTTTGGGTTGTCACGCCTGGGGGTGGGGTGCTACTGGCATCTAGTGGGTAGGGGCCAAGGACGCTCCAAGGCACAGGATGGCTCCCCACGCAAAGAATGGCCGGGCCACAAATGTCCACTGTGCCACAGTTGAGAAACCCTGGGTTAGATTGATGCTCATGTTCTTAGAAGCCCTCCTCCCTAACCGTGGAAGATGGAGCTGGAGGTCACTCCCTTTAGTCCCTGGTGCCCTATAATAGCACGGATATGCCATTTACCATGGGCCAGGCACTGTTCTAAGTGCTTTATGTGTGCTAATTCATTTTATTCTCCTGACAGCCCTTTGAGGTAGGTATTAGTAGAAGCCGCTTTGGACAGATCTGGACACTGAAGCTCG